TGAGAAGATGATAGATTTTTGAAAAGTTATTTTTTTAAAAATAAATTAGAAAGCATTAGCTTTAAAATGAGCTATTATTCAAAGTTCTCGGATGAAAAATGACTATTTGGCTAAAGTTTTTAGGTTGCCACCCTGAAAAATAGGCCTCTAATGCATAAATATGTTCCTAAGTTTTTCGATAGGATAACAGAAGAAGTTCAAAAAAACAATTACAGTTCTTATGTAACTTTTGATGCTTTACAAGAATATATATAGAAATATAAAATTAATTGAAAAAAAATTTTTTCGAAATTTTTGCAAATTATCCTTTAGAAATTAATTCCAAATTACAGTGTAGTTATTTTTCAACTAGTTCAATGCCTTTTGATTATCTACTACCTATCCGCCTCAAAAAGAAGGGAATGCCAGATATTCTCAGGAATACGAAGCGACTACATGTTAGCAACCCGACCTAACTAGTGTTAGTTATCGTCATTGGCTTTCTGCATACATTTTGAAGACTTATCGTCAGTGTTAATAATATCGTGTACATATGTCGGTTTTTAATTGATGAACTGCTCTGATTATTTATCATTGTATATCGAAACTATGTAAAATAGAAACGAATGCTACCATTTAACACCATATTGTTTGACGTCATTGACATCTACTTGATGAACAGTCACTGAATGACAACATGCCGACGCAACCGAAGATTTGTTTATTAAACATTATTCTATTAACATATGATTGAAAATATTATAAGCCGATTGCATAGCACAGCAGGCAAAGTTATTTAAAAAACATTTACAGAATTTTCTTCATTCTCTCTCTTTTACTTATTATATAGAAACATATTTAATTATCACCAATCATTTTACATTTATATCTCTAATAATTTTTATACATATACAATTTATCTATCTCTCCTAATCATTCTGCTACCATCATTTGGATAAAAGTATTCGGAAACGACCCACACGAATTATCTTCTATCTTTTCTAGGAGTATGATCACTTCGTTCTATAACAATACCATGTTGTCGTCATTTCATTCAACTATGTTGTTAAGTGGAGCTGAACAAGAAGCAATCCGAGAAGGTGAGAAACGATAATAGTTTTCCAATGCAGTTTTTCAGTAATTTCATACGCTGTCTGATCTATCTGGAACAAATAGATAAAATCATTAGAATCTTTCCTCTTGATTTCTTATAGGCTGCGAAGCTCTTTTGTACTTAGAAAAGACTCGCGCATCTGTGTAATTAAACGAGTAACTGGAAATGAGAGCAACAGCTTAGTAAGGCGCTAGTGCATATAGTCACTTTTGTTTCTCGAATATCAACTGTCTGTCACTCAATCATAGCCTATTGTTTGATCTATATTACTTGATTACATTGAACAGTAGATTAGAAATATTCTGATATTCTTCATATGAATTCTAGGGCAAGGTCGTGTCAATCAGCTAGGTGGTACATTTATCAATGGAAGACCACTACCGCACGAATTAAGAATTAAAATCATCGATTTGGCATCACAAGGTATTCGACCATGTGTAATCAGTCGACAAGTATGTTATAAAATTGAATTTAAGTACCTTTGAACGATATGATGGAAAATTCTTTGGTAGTATACGGGTCCTGCATATTATCACTGTGTGCAGTTGTTAGTTGTAGTATTTGTTTCTGTCCTCCATTTAGCTTCGTATATCTCATGGCTGTGTTAGTAAAATCCTAGCTCGATATGCTGAAACTGGAAGTTTAAAGCCTGGTACTGTTCATACAAGAAAACGTCGAGTACCAACCAATGAGGATAGCACGGATTCGAGTGAAGAAAAAAGTGAGTAGTCATAGACAAATATCTCGTTGAATTAAAACGCTCGCTATTCTTTTCTTGTTAGATAATTCCTTGAATGAATCATTAAGAATAACACCAAATGGTGCTGCACGACGATACCGTACAAGTTTTAATCATGAACAAACACAAGAATTAGAAACTTTATTTCAGTCGACTCATTATCCAGATGTGTCAACACGAGATGAATTAGCCAAGCGGATGGGTTTAAATGAAACACGTATTCAAGTAAGGAAACAGTGGCTTCAAAACATAGTTTTTATTCGGAAAATAATGTTTTATCTGTTTTAGGTATGGTTTAGTAATCGTCGTGCTCGTCACAGAAAAGCGCAATCGACGCATCAACTGACTGACTCTTACCATGAAAATACCAATGAGAATAGCCCAATTCAGCATTCTCACATGCTTTATCCACCAATACCACAATCAATGTTTAATCCCGATATGAAACCGTATTTCTCCTCCACTTCCTCTTGTTTATCATTAAGTGACCTTCCAGTCCATTTGTCCTCTCCATTTAATGATCTAACAACAAGCACAGCAAGTACGTATACCATTCTATAGATATTATTAATAATGTAGTTAACAACCATACTGATTTTTTAGATCTTCAGTCACACTTTTATCCCACCACACCCTCGTATAATTATTCAACGTCATCAAATTATGGTTATTTACCATCGTATTCTTCTTCTTGTCATCTTGATCCATATTAACAATTCAATAATGAATGACAACTATAAACTGTCTTTTTCCTTTACTTATTTTAGACAACCGTATGATTTTTGTTCATACAGATTCTTTATCTTTTCGTTAAAAATATTTATTGATGATCTACCAGTATCTATAGATGCATCTTTTTTGCTTTCACTTATTTTCAGTAATAAATACCTTATTGATTACAAGAAAAAATATAAGTTTAGTGATATACTAAGAGTTATATTATCTACGTCACGTTTGAACTGAGATTATAAATTATGATCGCAATAAATGAAAAACTTGGACAAATTCTCTTCCAGTGGCTATCAGCTGGAATAATTATACATCAGAAGCAATATACATTATAGGAATACATTTGAAAATTTGATGCTCCCTCCGCGCTGAATCCTAGAATCAAATTAGATAAAAATTGAGCACCAGGTGCAAAATTTCTCGTTGAATCCGACGACGGGCTCGCTTTAATTTCATCTTGACTTCGTCGAAATCAATCATTTTAACCAAGAAGAAAAATATAATAAAAACAGGTAGATTATGTCCATGTCAGAGAAAAAGTCAAAATAAAATTAAAAGGAATCTGCTGTCAAATTCAACAAGAAATTTTGCACCTGTTACTCATTTTTATCTAATTTGGTTCAGAGTGGAACGAGCACCAAATTTTCTAATAATGATGGGAACTATAAAAATTTCTTTGCAGCTATATCCAGAGACTATTATTAATCAATTAAGTTTGCTTCGTTATAAGACAGTACTACCTCTATGAATCTTAACTTTCTTAAGAGTTTCACTTGATTGATTTTTCTCTTTATTTCAAGAGAAACTAAAATTTGTCGAATCAAGAACAATAAATTAAACAACGGTTATTTTATCTATTGGTTTATTTTAACCAACCGGAATCGTTCGTAACATATATATATATATATATATAATAGAAAGGAAGAAAATATATTTGTTACTCATTGGATTCAATTTAGAAAATAGAAAATATGTACTGTACATATGACAGTACATCTTATTCAATAGAAAATCTATCAATGCTTGACTATAGGAGAAAAAATAAGAAGTTGAAAACATGAAACGGTTGCTTGTGTCACTATCATTGTTGATTGAAAAAAGATTGGATATTTTATTTGGGAGAGAAGACGCCTATCATTACTCGTTATTGTGAACTAATATGCCGTGAAAATAAAATTTCTCACTTATGAAACGGACCGAATCGATGATGATAAACTAACTATTGCACCTCTATATGTGAGAGTCTATCATCATCAATATTCGTTTTTCCTGTTCGTTACGCGAGAATAGATATTTAACTAAATTGAATTTTCTCTATTTCTCTCTCTTGCTCTCTCTCTTACTCATAAAACGACCCACATACGTGAATTTAGTTCAATCATTTATACCGAATAGATTTTTAAAAATAATTATCCGCTATTTTTCTACGTAACTAAAAGCATCGTTCTCGTTCGGTAAATTGTATTAAACTAATTTTTTTTATCTAAATGCTTCAATCTCGACCAGGAAATTCGGCTTGGCCATCAATGATCTATCCACACATTATTTCATATGAAGGTAAGTTAGATGTTTCGCAAGAATTAAAATTACCTTTTGCAAAAAATGCTTTTTTTTAAAGTTATCCCATTCGCTTCTCCATACATCAAATTTTTTACTTGGCTGTAAAATTATAAAAGAAAATCCTAATATTTCGATTTTTTACTTGCGAAGGACACAATAAAATATTTTCTCAGAAGCATGAATATCATATCTAAATATCTTCATAATATTATTATACTTCTATATTACTTATAAAATTTATGATCTCAGAATAAAAAACGAACTCGTGACACTTTTTTTTATGACAGTTGCAATTTGATGTTTGTAAGGCCTTTTTCACTCCAACCTTTTTCAACTTTCAACTTTTTTTTCGATTTTTGTTGGGGTATTTTGTGTAAAATAAAGAGCTGTATAAATACACAGAGCAATATCTCTAGAATCTCATGGACTGTGTATAAAGTAGTTAAAGTACTGACAAAAATCGCGTCAATTTTTTTACAGATTCTAACTGCTCGTATTTTGATTAAAGGTTATACAAGAAGACAGTTCATCAAGGAGGAAAAGAACTTTTTTTAGTATAGTACCTCCGCACCTTTTAGGCATCTTGTCGGCACCTTTAAGTACCTTAATCGGCACTAGGTGCTGCTTTTCTTCACTTGCAGTTCAAAAATGCGAAAATGCAATATTTTATTTGAAAACCAAAATAAATGACGGAATACATCTTGTTCAAAATTTTGAATTTATGCATAATTTGTATGCAGAAGTAAATGAGATAAAAAAAGCATTTTTTTCAAACATGTTACTCGGCTTTGAAACCGATGTTCAATGCGCTCGTGAAACGTTTCTTAAAAGCCTATTAAAATCAAAATATGGACTAAATACTCTTTTTCTATTATCGATACAGATAGTAATCGTGCTCTATCTGATAGAGGAATGACAGTTTGCATCCACGTTGAAGAAGAAACCTGATGTACCTCTTTTCGTTTCATACTTCATCTATTCTCATTTATCAGGTCACTCAAACGAAGGTATTCGTACTTGAAACTATCACTTCCTAGAATGCGCGTTAACCTTCTTGAAATCATACGCTACTGCAGTAAGGCTAATAAATCTCAGATTAAATTATGAGTAAGAAAGTGGAAAATACGGTACTTGTTACAGTATTTATATAGACCTTTAAATAAAACTTGTAAAGTAAAAGTGGAACTAGATTTTTGATGTTATGCTAAATAACGAGACGATAATCAAAATATGGTCTGTTAAACTTCAGCGATTTTAACAATGTTAGTTAACAAGAGAGTACACCGTTTGTAGGAACGGTGATTCAGTTATAAAAGATCGCTATAACAATTCACTTGCAGAACCACTAGTTATTCTTCTCTTATCTCAGTAGAGAGAGAGGATCGTAGTCAAAGAATTTGTTTTTTCGAGCTGCAATTAAATGTTTTAAATCAGAACAGAAAATTTTATTTTTCAAGATTAAAAAGATTTTCCTTCAAATTATCATCATCGATGGACAGGAATGAGCAGGTATAGAAATGAAAACTTGAAAAAAGATTCAAATGGATTTAACTGAAATATCTATAAAGTCAACATGTAACTTCTACGGGCCACTGTAACAAAGTTGCACTCAAAAATAGGAATTCCCTATGTTATGTAACTCTAAAAAAACTCAAAGGAATTATAGAGTGAGTTATTAGTTAAATGTTACTTTTATTTGATAAGAATTTTTCAGTGTCGAAAAATACTCGGTCTCATAAGACAGCTTTTGTAGTTTAGAAATTTTTTCTATATTTCACCTTATCTCATCATAGGTCAAGGACGCGTCAATCAACTGGGAGGCGTCTTCATTAATGGACGACCACTTCCAAATCATCTTAGAATGAGAATTATTGAATTGGCATCACAAGGTGTACGACCATGTGTAATTAGCCGCCAGGTGATCTGTTTGTAGTTAATATTCATCT